TCCCTCTTATTTAATTTATTCAGCAAGTATCAGTTGCATGCTTACTCTAAGTACTCTTCTCCAAAAGTACTATGACTACATGGAGTTAACAGGAGGGAAGACTGACAATAATTATAATCAAGTGATGAGAAAGAATAGGAATAGGGTATAGAATAGGAATAGGGCATAATGGGAAGATAGGCAGGGGTAATTGGTGGGGAAGAAGCAGCTAGAGAAGTCTTCAAACTTTTTTTAAAGGTAACCCCTAAAGGATAAGTGGAAAATGGGGAGAGGAAAGGAAAGGGAAATGTTTAACATAAAGAAAGTCATAGTGTGTTAAGAAATAATGAAGGAGAAAGTACTGGTGAAAGCACTCTTAAAATAGGCCTCTTTATTTCTTCCTTTTCCTAAATAATTTCTCCATTTTTTGAACCCTGTAGTACTTAATATGCTTTAGACCAAAGCAAACTGAAGGCAAAACAAAGGACTTACAGAGAGTACTAGGTAAATATGTATGCACCATTAGAGGTTATATGTGTGCCAGTGCAAATGCTAACTTAAAACATCAGAGGAAAGAGGTAGGATATTTTACCACCTAGCACTCCTCAAAATGATAGGGAACTGCATCACCTGTCTAGATAATTATATAGATTAAGTGGCAGGGAGGGATTCATTCATAAAGTTCTGGAGGAAGTACTACAAAGTAATTACAGTTCTAATCTTCAGATGTTACTTGAAAGGCCCCTAAATGTTTAGGAAACAACGAAAACCAGGTACATAACATATAGGAAAAAAATTGCCACTCAATATTGTTGGCAAGAATTTCTCTCTTTTTTTTTAAGATTTATTTATTTGTGCATACAGAATTGGGGTACAGGCCAGAGGCTCAGGGGTGGCGAGAGGCTTCACCAGAGACAGAGTGGGGAGCAGAACAGGCAGATCGAGGAGGTATACTGCTGAGGGGAGCAGTGGGCAGGTCAGGAGAGGTCTGCCATGTCATGTGGTCACCTCCGGGGCAGGCGGGAATCGAACTCATGCGGAGGTGGCTTTAGCTTCTTAGTGCTGTGCTTTAATGCGCTGCGCCATCAGGGAGGGTCCCGTGTTTCTCTCTTTTTTAAAAAATTTATCTTAACACTTCTTTTTTAGCAATACTCCTGCCCATCTGTGACTATGTAGGTTTTTTTGTTTTAAAGATTTGTTCATTTATACATACAGAACTGGGGACTGGGGTACAGGCCTGAGGTGCGGGAGGTGAGAGGATTCATCAGAGACAGAATGGGGAGTAGAACAGGCAAACTGACTGAAATACACTGCTGAGGGGAGCAGCAGGAAGGCCAGGGGAGGTCTGCCATGCCATATGGATCACCCTGCTGGCCAGGATTGAACTGCTGCAGTGGCTGTGATAGCTTCACAGTGCTGTGCTTTAACCCCATTGAATTACCAGGGAGGGCCCAAGAGTTTATCTATCTATCTATCTATCTATCTATCTATCTATATCCATCATCGACCTGCCCATCTATTTTTACATCACTCTTCATTTTGTTCATTTTTCTATTTTAGTTGTAGTCCTCGTGGTACACCAATTCACCCGTATACCATCACCATAGTCCCATGCACCTTTCCCACCCCAGTTTGATCCTATTCCCCTCTTCACCCTGGTAAATTATCTCTGGTATATAGCTGATAGCTGTTTGTTGTTTTTCATTTTTTCAATTGCTTTTTTTTTTCTCTTCCCTCTGATTCCTTATGCTTCTGCTATGAGTGAAACCATACGGTGTTTTCCTTTCTGGCTTACAGCTCTATCCATGTTGCTGCAAAAGGCATGCATTTATCTTTTTTGATTGCTGAGTAACTTTCCATTGTGTATATGTACATCTTTTTTTTTTAGTAATATAATAATTTATTTTTACATCATTTTGTGCATTTTTCCATCTCAGTTGTAATCCCCTTGGGCTTCCCATCACCAAATCACCCATGTGCCATCAGCATCGTCCAGTGCATTTCCCTCCCCCCACTGTTTTTGATCCCATTCCCCACTCCACCCCCATAAAATGTCTCTGGTATATAGCTGTTCATTATTATTATTATTTTCTCACCTGGTCCATTATATTCCTGCTATGAGAGAAACCATCCAGTATTTTTCCTTTTCATTCTGGCTTATTTCACTAAGCATGATCTTTTTCAGCTCCATCCATGTTGCTGCAAAAGTCATTATGTTTATTGTTTTCAGTTGCTGAGTAATATTCCATTGTGTATATGTACCACATCTTTTTAATCCAGTCATCTACTTTTGGGCCTTTGGGCTGCTTCCATGTCTTTCCAGTTGTAAATAAAGCAGCAATAAACATGGGGGTGCAGGTGTCTTTTTGAATCAGTGTTTTTGTCTTTTGGGTAGATACCTATGAGTGGGATTGCTGGGTCATATGGAGTCACAATGTTTTGTGTCCTTTGGGTAGATACTTAGGAGTGGGACAGCTGGGACTACATTAGGTACAACTTTTGAACAGCAAAAGAGACATTACACAAAACAGACACCCCACTACACAAAACAGACACCCCACACAGTACTAATGGTAAAGGAATGATCACAAAGAACTGTTGAAACTCCACAAAAATAAAGTGAACAACCCCATCAAAAAATGGGCAGACAAACGTAGCTGACTGGATTAAAAAGATGTGGTATATTTACAGAATGGAATATTACTCAGCAATCAAAAAAGATAAATGCATGCCTTTTGCAGCAACATGGGTAGAGCTGGAAGGGATCATGCTTAGTGAAATAAGCCAGAAAGAAAAAGAAAAATACTGGATGATTTCAGTCATAGCAGGAGCATAAAGGACCGGGGGTGGAGTGGGGAAAAATAATGAGCAACTATATACCAGAGACACTTTATGGGGGTGGAATGGGGAATTGTATAAAAATGGTGGGAGGGGCAAAGTGCACCTCACTATGGTGAGGGCACACTAGTGAACTGGTGATGGGAAGTCCACGGGGATCACAACTGAGATAGAAAAAGGCACAAAATGATGTAAAAATAAAATATTATAATAAAAAAGAAAGGAAAAAATGGGCGGAAGAGCTAAAAAGACACTTCTCCAAAGAGTTTTTCTTTTTAAATAGTCTCTGTTCTTTGTGTTTGCCAGGGTTCTGGGTGAGCTGGTGGGAGGGCACTACCAGACCTCCAGTTACTTTAAAAATCAAATAATAAAAAAAGAAATCAAATGTTCATGACTCAGGTTTTTACCATTTCATTTTAGATGCATGTTCCAAAATCTTTTGCATTTGTTTGAGAGGAATCAGATGTTAGCAAATTTTGATAGAGATGATTTGGGGATATAGCTGTCATTATAGGCCAGAATAGATGGTATTTCAAGAAACTTTATTCCTCCCCTTATTCTGTGTAGTTCAGCAATTTAAAATATCTGAAGGTTTGTGAAGACACTTCCTTGATCCTACTGTTTCTATAGCTAAGTAAATAGTAACCCCCAAATAATGAGAATGTATATAAATGTGTGGTGGCTCTAATTTGGTGGTTCTTAAGCTTTTATCTTTTATTGATAGATGTTAACGTATACATTTACAGAAAAACTGAGCAGCAATACAGAAACTCCCCATATTCTTCCTCTCCTAGTTTGCTCTATTATTAAGACCTGTCATTAGTATGATGCATTTGTTAGAATTAATGAACCAATATTAATATTGCAGTTTAAAAAAGTTCCTATTTTATTCTGATTTCTTTGCCTAATGTCCCTCTTCTATTTCAGGATCCCATTCAGCTTAAAATTTGCCTTTAGTTGTGGTAGCGCTTAACATGTCGTTACCTGTCCTCATTACATTTAATTGTCATTTCTCTAGGCTCCTCTTGGCTATGACTTTTTTTTTTTTTTGGTAAGATGAAGTGTGTTGAAAATCTGATGAAAGCTAGAGATCCTCTCCACAGAAAAATACACATGATTTTGATGTCTAATTTAGGGAGGCTGACCTATCCTAATGCCCGCATTTAGGTGCAAGGAGGGTGATTTTTAAACTGTCCCTTTCCCCAGACGTGGGCACAAGGTCTGTCTCTACCCCTAATAGGTTGTGTGATCTCTTTTGCAATACTGTTTCCTATGTGGGTCTAAATTTCACCATCTGGGAAATGAGGGGTTTGGTTTACATGATGTCTGAATTCTTTTGGAGCACAAAAGGTAGGTGTCACCTAGTGTTGTGAACAAATACTGAAGGAACAATGGCTGAAACAGACTAGGGAAGTGGGCAGGCTTATCAATAAGAAGGCTGCAGAAGTTCAATAGGGGTAAGAAAACCTGGCTTCTACTTTATGGCTTTGTGGATTTTCTAAGTCACTTCCTTTCTCTGAGCTTCAGTTTCCCCATCTGCAAAAATGTGGAGCCTCTGCTTCTGGTAGTTATGAAACTCCTGAGAACAAGGGCGGAGAAGGTACCTGATAAGACACCTCATGAGGAATTAGGATAGGAAAGAGGGAGCAGGGAGGGTGCGGAGTGAAGGACGGATCTGAGGAATGTGAGGCAAGCCTGAGAACTCTAGAGGGAGGCACCTAATACACACCTCAGGGTTCTGGGACCACACCCGCACATTGTTGGGGTCCTTCCACTTCGATCCTGGCCCCGCCTCCGCCCCACCTTCCCTAGGGCAGCGACGCACCACACTTCGCATGGCCGCCACCAGGCTCCGCTTTTCACCGCGCGAACGGCGCGCGCGCTCTCGCGCGGCCACCTCACTGCCTGCCCTGCCAGCCCGTGGCCTTTCCAATTGGCGCATCTCTTAAGTGACGACGTGCTTCTTATTCCACCCCCTTGCTTCCGCGGGGCTCTGCCCGCCTCCTCCTTGCTTCTCCCATCGCGGGTTGAAATCTAACCTGTCCTCGTCTGGGCCTTCGGGAGGAGCCGGGAGCACCGCCTACATCCGGAAGGCGCTGGCTGGCGCGCGCGCACGCACTCACGCACTCACGCACGCACGCACGCTGGCGGCCGGCTGGGCGGCAGGCTCGCGCCCGGGCTCGCCCCGCGCCGCGCCAGAGGCTCGCGCACTCAGCAGGTTGGGCTGCGGCGGCGGCAGCGGTGGGAGCTGAGGCGCAGCGTGTGAGAGGACCCCGACGCGTCAGTGGCTCCGACTCCGCCACTTTCCTCCTCTCAGCCGGGTGTCAGAGCCGGTGCTGAGAAGGGAACGGCTCTAGCCTTGGGAATCCCGAGCAGACCCTTAGTTGTTTCCGACGCCCTCCTCCTTTCTCAGCCACGGGCCTCGCTTGGTGCTAGGCGACTCTGCGGGGAGGAGGCGGCGACGGCTGCCTGGCTTTGGAGAGTCCTGCTCTCCTGCTTTGCGCCGCCGCCGGGCCCTGCAGGGGCCGAGAGAGCGCGGCGCCCGCCCTTCCTCTCGCTTTTCTCGTCCGCCGGTTGGAGCAGCGTCGGTCCGGGAGGTCTCTGGGCTGAGGCGGCGGCGGCTCCTCCGGCTCCATCATGTCCGCGGGCGGAGACTTCGGGAATCCGCTGAGGAAATTCAAGCTGGTGTTCCTGGGGGAGCAGAGCGGTGAGTGCGTGGCTCTCCCACTCCCGGCTGCCGGCCGCGGCTTTCCCGCACCGCCCCCAGTGCGGCCCTTCGGTCTGCGGAGACTCCCTGCCGGCCTCGCGTTCGCGCCCGGTTCCACCCCCAGCCCTTCCTGGGCTTCGCCAACCGCCCCTGGCCACCGGTTCCTCCTCGTCGTGATCCGTAGTCGGATTTTGACCCTTCCGTCCCTCACTCTGCGGTCTCCTTTTCCCGCAGCCCGGCCCTCTCCGTCGATCTGCCCTCCCCAGTCCTCACCCCGCCCAGCCCCAGCCTCCTGCCCATCTCTTTCTTCCTCTGGGCTCCGTCGTCTCACCCACCCAGCCTCCTTCCTTGAGCCCCACCCTTACTCCTTGCTCTTTCCCCAGTTCGTCTGTACTGTGAGGCCCACCCCGGGAAGCACCACTTTGGGGAACCAAACCCTTTTCAACCTTGGGCAAGGAGGGTGGGATTAGGGCGTTGTTTCCCCCAGAGGCTTGACCCTTAGAAGTGCGAATCTTGTGGAAGGTGGGAGCTGATTGTCGGAGAATATTCTTGGATGGTTTTCTGGGTTAGAGAGGAAATATATGTGAATTGGAGGCGACTTGAGATGGAGTGTTGCGGGGGGCGGGGAGGGAGGGTGGGTGTTGGGGTAGTGGCGGCAGTGCCCCTTGGGTTAGCCTTGTGGCTTGTTGGAAAACCTCTTATTCCTCTCTTGACTTTCATCACTGACAATTCTTTGGCAGTGTAAATGCTTTTCCGATCTCCGCCAGATGCTATGTCATGATCATTTTACTTGGAATTTTTCACATCTCGTTTCAGCATAAAACAGTGTCTTAATCTCTTCATGGAGGTGCAGACAGGAATACTGGGGACATGTTAATTATTCCGTTTCTTCCTGAGTATTTTCCAATTATGTATTTAGGATTCCTGTGAGAGAAGGTTTGAGAATAACCAACACCTTTGTAGGATTTCTTTTAGGGTTAGAGAGTAATGGAGTAGTGTAGGAATAAATTCATCATCTAGTTACCTAAATTAGATTTAAATACGCAGTGTCATTTCACCTAAATGACTCTTATACTTAATAGTCCATGGTGTCTGATGAGTGAAATTGTTGTGTCATTTATCTGGTCAGGCTTCTGTCCACATACTTCGTGTTAGATACAAGATCCTGATTTTGCGATCCAGATTTTAGTGTCTTTTAATGTCTGTGTTAACTGCAATTTTTAAGCTGTTTTATGTAAATTCGACGCTCAGTTTCGAGCTCATCTCTCCCTTTTGTTTTTCTCACACTTTTCATGGCCATCTTTAAAATTCAGACATTGTAAGACTGGTTTCTCCCAAGTTATTAATCATTGACTACCTGCAAGGTGTCTTAGTTTATAGAAAATAATTACTTTAGATCGTGAGAACGATAATATAAATCATAGTTTGTATTACTACCTTGAACTGTTTATATTAATTTGTATGGCATTAAGGTAGGTTAATACAAGTTGCAAAATTGCTTGCATTTGGTCTTGGGAAGTAATTTTTCTTCTTCAGACACAATCTTAACCTCTTGCTACTTACCAAGAAAAATAAACTCTCTTTGCTTATGAGTTTTCCTGAAATCAGTCTAAGCTTATTCCTTTAGGTGAATAACTTGGTAAAACCTATGGGGTTGATCCTGGTCCAACTGTTATATAGACATTTCAGAAGAGTGCTATACATAAAATAGAGCATATTCCTCATTATTGATAAATAGAATCTAAAGTGCTTATTGTGCACTCTAGGGATATTATTGCCTGTCTTATGTTATGATGCAGAGCTATTTAGTTTGAATGAAAAATCCATTAATCTTTGTCTTAGGGAGATATTAGTATAAATATAAATCATAATTTAAGTGACTATAGGTCATAATTTATATGCAAGTTTCCTTTGAATTTCTTGAATGTTTATATTTTAATTCACATTGTGGGGATTTTGTGTTTTTTTTTTCTTTAAATCTTTACTAACTAGGTAATTCCTGAAGTATTTAATTTTTTAATTTTATTTTTTAGAACATTTTCATCTTTAGAGAAAAACTGCTTTGGGTTCCCATAAAGCCCCATTCAGTGTCCTCTATTATTAAATCTTACGTTAACGAGATATATTTGTTAAATTCATAAACCAATATGTTACTACTTACCTAAAGCCATAGTTTATTCAGATTTCCTTAGTTTTTGTCTTTCTCTGATTCAGCATTCAAATAGAATACTACAGTATATTTAGTTGTCATGATTTCATAGATTCTTGTATTTTTTAGGATTGTGTTTACATGCTTTTTAACTTTGGAACTATGAGGTTAATTGTCTTTTGAGGTCTACTATATTGCTAAATAATGCCATCCCCTAGCTTTGACAGTGAAAGATAGATCTCTATTTTTATGGGCAGTGTCTATAATTTTCTTATGCATTAGTAAAGATGTGTAGAACCCAGTCAATTGATGTAATTCTTCATTAATTATTTATTTTTAGGCTTTAGTTCCACAGTTTAGCTTTCAAAGACCAATCTGTTGCGAAGTCGTTTGCTTCCTTAATAGCATTTAGCATTGTAGCAATACCACATTTATAATTATCTTATTTTCTCTATGATTGTTTTTGTTTATTTACCACAGCAGAATGCAAGTCCCTTGAAGGTTAAAAACCTATACAATGCCATAAACTAATGCTACCAAACTTAAGAAGAATTGTAGATTAAAAAAGCAATAATTTTTTTTTTGGTTTGGTACCTAACATAGTGCTTTCAGAACTATTTGGTTCGTGAATGATTGACACTAATAGTTATCAAAGCTGATAGCCTCTGCTACAGTGAAGTCTGCATTTTCCCCTCGTGTAATTAATAGTTGTATGCAGGGATATTCCAGATGTACAAAGTGCCAGCAAAACACCAAATAACTTAGGGCCCTACCATTTCATTAAATAAATAAAAAACTGATCTGAATTTTGCACTTTTTTTTTAGTTGAGCAAAATTAGTTTTACTTTGTTAAACACATAAAAAGTATGTCAGATGGTATTAACGATGTGTCCATGGATTGGATTTGAAGTTAGGCAGACTGTTTTATGTAGCTTATAAAAAATGTAGAGTTCTGTGCTCTAAAACGGAGATGAGTTGTTTCAGTACATGAAGCCTCAGATTGAGTTAATGACATCAGTCTTGGTAATCCTATAAATTTTTCTGATTCTTTATATTGCAGGAGTTACGTGGTTTAGTAAAGGAATCTTGAAAACCACAATTTGAATCTGAAGTATCAAAGGCATCTCTTTATCTTACATTGCTATATTGTCAGTCTTGAATTGCAGAGGCACTATTTGGAATGTCACTGATGGTTTACATTGGAAGAGTTCACTACAAATAAATGCTACTGGTTATAAATTAAAAAAACATAAATTTAGGAAACACCTACCTGCCCTAGTACTTCTCATTTTTCCCATTTTCCTATTACCAAAAAGGTAAAGAAGAGTATTGGGTGTAGTGAAAAGTTTAGTTTAGACTAGCTAGATGAGTGATCCTGAATTTTTTCTTGTTAGGATCCCATTATGATCTTAGAAATTGTTATTTTGTACCCTGAACACTTAATAACATTTTCACCTGCTGTTCTATTTTTTATTTTCCCATTCTACTTTTTATTTTTAAATAGGCTTTTTTTAGATTTATAGAAAACTTGCAAAGACAGAGTTCCTGTATACTCAGTTTCCTCTGTAATTACCATCTCATATATAAATCTTTTGTAGTTTTAATAAGCCAGCATTGATACATTGCTAACCAAAGTTCGTATTTTATTTAGGTTTCTTCAGTTTTATCTAAAGCCTTTCCTCTCTTCCAGAATCCCATTCAGAATATCACATTTGATTTAGTTTTTAGGTCTCCTAAGATTCTTTGGGCTGTGACAGATTTAATTATATATCATTTCCTTAAAGTCTCAAGTTTCTAAGCACCTATCATAGTGTCTGTTGGTACAAGGGGTTAAAGCACAGCACTGTGAAGCTATCTGCAGCACTCTGGCTAGGGAGGTGATCCACATGTCATGGTACACCTCTCCTGTCTGGCTTGCTGCGCCCCTCAGCAGTGTATTTCAGTAGATCTGCTGTTCAGCTTCCTCTGTTGTCTCTGGTGAATCCTCTCACCTCCTGCACCACTGACCTGTTCTTGTGTGCATAAATAAATCTTTAAAAAGTCCTTTCAAATTAGAAACATATGTTACATTTTAGGAAATTTTCTTGACTTATATCCTTACATTTTCATTTCTCTGGAATTCTTACTAGACCTTTTGATTGATCTTCCAATTACATTTTTGTCTCTCATCTTCTTTGTTTTAATTCTTAAAAGTTTTTCTCGACTTTTTTTCAATTTATTAAGTTTTATTTCTTTTTAAAAGATTTATTTATACATACAAGAACTGGGGTAAGCGAGAGGTACAGGGGGTGAGAGGATTCACAAGAGATGAGTGCGGAACAGAACAGATGAGTGGATCTACTGAAATACACTGATAAGGGGAGCAGCAGGCTAGACAGGAGCAGTCTGCTGTGTTTTATATGGTTTAGTTCCCTGATTGGCGCTTTGAACTCAGGCCAAAGTGGTGAATGGGCGATTAGGCTTAAACTTAACCCCTAGGCCACTATTATAGAACATTTTAAGCATGCAAAAAATGTACAGAGAAAAGCATCATTAACCCCCATGAACTGTTACTCAGCTCAGTAACTATCAATTCACGACTTAATCTTTCATCTAAGCATATACGTCCTCTCCTCTGTATCACTGTTGTTTAGCCTACCTTTGCCAGTATTTGGTTATGCCCTTTAAAAGATGAGAAGCTATCTTTTGATATATTCTTTTGATATATTCTCGATGTTCATAGAGATAATTATTCACAGAGGTCTTCATTTTGAGGATACTTTTTTTTTTCTATTACATTTCCATTTGATACTTAATATTTCAGGGATCTCTAGATTATTGCTATTCAATTGGTCTTTTTTTTTTTTTTTAA